AATATGAGATTATCTATTCAAAAGGCGACGTAGTTGCTCTCAAGCACAATTACAAGAGGTATATCATCCTTTCTTCCTTGCAGTTCTTTTAAAAGATCTCCACTATAACGGTGACGCATTCCTGGAAGATCACATGGGTTTGAGATGGCTGGAACAGTCAGAAGAAGATCCCCCTGTATACCAGACTGGGCACCGTGACGATAGAAATTCACCTGAGTGTATATCATCGGGAAAGTTCAAATAATAAAAGATGGAAACAACTTCTGTTTGAGCTGCCTTGAAGAGCAACTCCTAGTTGCATTGCTCCAGGGGTCAATTGAATCAGATGATTCACCTGCGTCAAGTGGTGACGAAGAGGAAGGGGAGCAAGCTCGGGCGGACAACTTTTCAGAGCCAATTAGATTTGAAGCTGGAAGGAGTAGGTCTGGAATTGGAAGACCTACAACCAGATATGTCCTCTGACAATCTACACAATAGTTATTAAGCCAGGAAAAGCCGTTAATGGGCTTGACACAGAAAAGCTGTTAAACTGTAGAACCTGTGGCTTGCATCATTTATTTTTCTACTTCATGTAAAGCAGGTATTTTGTTACTGGTAATTGATCGTGATCCTCACTGTACCACATTGTCAAACAGTGTGAGAGTGGAAATTCGCATAAGACTACAACATCAACAGGGATAGCAGAATAGAAAGCTCTGATAGAACCTACAACTTGCACTAAAAAATTAAAGTTAATGTTTTTCTCATCAACCTATTTGAGCATGTTCTATATTCTATATTTGGAGATAAAAAAAGTTGCCTAAGTTAAAATTTTATGTAAAAACATGGATGGGATCAATTCTTTTATCAGGGCTCAGGGATCAAAATTTGGGAGAAAATGGGGCTCAGGGATCAAAATGACGGCAAGAAAATAGGGATCAGCGGGCCCCGGATATACCATGTTACGACCCTGCTATGTATTATTAGGAATCCTGTGGTATTTACGGGCGACCTTATAATCGTTCGTCTTCCTTTCAGCGCCATTTTCAATTACGTTATAAGTGCATGCACACCATCTTTTTGGTTACGTAAAGGGTTTATCAAGGTCAACCAACCAACGTATGTAGAAAGCACGGGGTTATTTGAGTTTGGCGAGGAAATGAAATTTTGAGCTGTTTTCGACATTTAAAGCGCGCGTGTTTTATCAGTGACCTGGGAATTCTGTCCTTCCTTTCTTGGTGTTTCTTCACTTTTAGGTTAGAATGTTTTACTGGTCAAATCGAGCTGAAATTTTCGTAAAAAGGCAAAAATAAACTAGGTAAAATTTGTGCCGTTTTTTTGCTTTATTGAGGTATTTTAACGTATTATAGGCAGTTTTATTTTACACCTGAACAAAAAAAATCGGGATAAAGTACGTTTGCGGACTTACGTTTTCTTACCCGTGTTTTTATTTGTTTATGTACCTAATTCAATAAAGCTGCCTTGACATTTGGTCATTGGTAATCGAGCAATGGGCATTTGGGAGTGTGGAATCTACTGTAATGATTTGCTCGAGATGACAGACAAACAATACCTTTTCAGTGCGCAAAGCCGAATGCCAAAGGCAACCTGTGTTGAATCAGGTGTGCATGTAATGCTTTGACATATCTGCTCGTGATTTTGTTACTGTCCCTCTCGCCTAACAACATAAGCTTAAAACAAGATGAATTGACTTACACGAATTGAATGAAGATGAACTAGTCGCACAATGGCAAAAGATTCTGTACCTTAAATATGACATCTGTGATCTCGCAACTTAAGCCTATGTTTCTGTAGCCTGAATATCAGGCTTTTATGCTTTTGTACGTATGTAGTGATACATTTTTCTTACATATAAGTGCTTTCTTCGACTAACTTCTCAATTTCATAAATTAGACAGTTTAGAACAAACAAAAAAGTCTCCTTGGAGAGCATAGAAAGTCAGCATGATCCTATCACGTTCTTTCAAATGAAAGGCAACGGAAAATTTCAATGAAAATTTCCATTCTTGAAATTTAGCTTTGCGGTGTATTTTATTTTTAACACATTCAAATATAGCTTAAAAGCATATAACATTTTCTTACAGTAGACGTCAAACAATCGTTATTCTTTCTTCGCCGCTGTTTTCATCAAGAAAACCTTCCTCACCTTCTTCTTGCTTATGCACCTATCAATGTAAATCCCGTGGGGGGGGGGGGGGG